CTGTCGCGAAGAGGTTTAACACAGAATGACTCCTCCCCCTCCCCCCGCCAAAAAGGATTGTTTGATTAAATGCTTTTTAAAATAAATAAATACGATATATACTTCCAATTGTTGGCTCGTATTTAACGTGTTGCATTAATAATAAATATATACACATGTCACATGAAGACAAAATCAGAATAGACGATGAAAAAAGAGGTTATCTAGTGAACATAGCTCAATTTATCTTCTGTGCAAATTATTGGCAGTGACAAATATCTATAATATTAACTCAAAATAATTCAGAATGAGGAAATAAAATAACTGATAAATGAATGTGACCTGTCGCTACCTGTTCAAGACAGAGGTCCGACATTGTTTTTCATGTTATATTGGGTTCTTGGTTTAGACGCCATAGTTATCATGCTGTTTACATGGTTTTTGATATGGAATGCAAGGAAACAACATGTATTGACGATTTCCTTGGAGCAGGAAATCAGTTAGGAAGCGACCTTAACAGAAATTAGATGTAAGAAAATAAATAAAGCCTGAAAGGGACGTTAACATGCCACTAACATGTGAGTCTAGGAACTACGATTTCTTCACGTTACATCCGTCAGGTGGCTTAACTTATGATAGCTTGTGACAGAAACATAGATATTTCGTAGTGTTGCGAATAGTATTATCTATTTGTGAAGTAGAGATTATAATATTCCTAATTCAGCAAGTATAGAAAAGGGACAATTTTGTGTATGGCATTCCTGGAAACGTCCATCTCGTTTGCAATAATTAAGAGTATGACGCCATAATGAGACTGTGTAATGTTTGAAATGTTGTGGGCAATGAGTGTATGCAGGTGTATGGAGTATGGGATAGCTTGACCAAAAGTTTCTATTTTTTTGTCAACACATGAGACATTAATAATGAAAGTAAACATGCAATATCAATTAAACATAATATAAAAACTGCAAACGGAAATGATTTACTTTAGAAGTGAAGAGTACTTTCAGTACGGAACACAAGTGACTGTTTCCGAACTACAAGAGGTTTGAAGTCATGAGTAAAAATAAGTTACGATTAAAATATGGCGACTTGACTACAACAACTTAATATCTTACTGGTTTACTTTGCTAACACCAAATGCTACATATTGGGTATTATAATACACTCATACAACACAAATGTGGTTTATAAAATGATTAGAGATAAAGTAGTCGGACCGGTGCTATACATTGTGTGTACCTAGATGTATAGGTTGATATCACGTTATTTTTGTGCATTTTGTACCTGTCGTTTTATTTTTATAATGTTGTTTGCTATCGTCTCCATATGCAGTGCAGTATTATGTACCTGTTTCTTGAGAGTATTATAGTGTAGATCGCTGTATAGTATAGTATTATAACGGTGAATGCTTGTATAAAGAAACACAAGCATAAATACATACAAATGAGACTTAGCATACATGTTGGTTCATTAATGTCAATACTTTGTGGCTTAGAGTGGAGCATAAGGTGCAGCCAGTAATACTGAACAAAATAAATTAAATGTTTAACTGATTTCTAGGCGATTGGTGTCGTATGCACAAAGTACTATTGTGTACCTGTCGTGTCAGTTATTTTAGTGTAAATTGCTGTATGTATTTAGAATTCAGGGTAAACCAGGCTTGCCATATATTATGGTGGTGATTTTGAAGCTGGCTTTGCAATTTATCAAATGGTAGGATGTTGAAGTCTTTTTTATATTGTGTTCGTACCGTCTTGAAAAAGGGGCAGAACGTTCGACAAATTTGACAAATAATGTTGATACTGCCCAATTTCAGTTAACTGTAGCGTGGGGTGTTGTTTATTGCAAGAGTTTAAGTCTGTAAACACGGAGTCGTTGAGCTCATCAACATGGACAAGCAAAATATGTTTTACCATTGAATATCGACATTCACTGCATTTTATGATAGTATATATTTCTTTCATAAGTGATCCAGTATCCATTATCTACCCATTTAACAAATAGACCGCCGTTTGATGCACGCTTCAGTTTGTTAATCGATATTATTATCATTGGTTTGAGATATCTCTTAACCTTCTTCTGCACCTGTACATCAAACAATGAGTATCCACGTGAGCCTTCATCAAATACTACACGTATACATGAACAGAGGATCCCTGATGAGTAACAAGGGGTCAGGTCACGCTTTTTACAACGAGTTATACATGCTTCATTTTTAAATTGCGCGGGAATGATTATTAAGTGCAACAGGTGTTTTCTTACATTTTTATAGAATCTATTTATTAGTGAGTGCAAAAATATATAAATGTATATGTTCTGTTAATTTATCTAACCAATACTTGTATACTGTATAACATTTATTGATAAGTTACACAGGATTTACTCAACATAAGTATACAATATACACTCTATAAATCAATTAGGTCAACACTTGTATACAATGTACTATATGGAATCTATGAGGTGGTTCGGACAACAAGTTTATACGATATCAAATATATAAATTGGTAAGGACAACACCGGTATACAATATCCAATATATAAATTGGTCTGTTGTAGATAATATCAATTGTATAAATGGTTAGGACAATACCTGTATACTATTTAGAATCTATAAATTTGTTTGGACAACACCTGTATACGATATCGAATCTATAAGAGGATAAGGACAACACCTGTACACAATATCGAATCTATAAGTGGATAAGGACAACACCTGTATACAATATCGAATCTATAAGTGGATAAGGACAACATCTGTATACGATATCGAATCTATAAGTGGATAAGGACAACAGCTGTATACGATATCGAATCTATAAGAGGATAAGGACAACACCTGTATACGATATCTAATCTATAAGAGGATAAGGACAACACCGGTACACAATATCGAATCTATAAGTGGATAAGGACAGCACCTGTATACAATATCGATTCTATAAGTTGATAAGGACAACACCTGTATACGATATCTAATCTATAAGAGGATAAGGACAACACCGGTACACAATATCGAATCTATAAGTGGATAAGGACAACCCCTGTATACAATATCGAATCCATAAGCGGATAAGGGCAACACCTGTATACAATATCGAATCCATAAGTGGATAAGGGCAACCCCTGTATACGATATCGAATCTATAAGAGGATAAGGACAACACCTGTACACAATATCGAATCTATAAGTGGATAAGGACAACACCTTTATACAATATCGAATCCATAAGTGGATAAGGGCAACCCCTGTATACGATATCGAATCTATAAGTGGATAAGGAAAACACCTGTATACAATATCGAATCTCTAAGTGGATAAGGACAACACCTGTATACGATATCTAATCTATAAGAGGATAAGGACAACACCTGTATACGATATCTAATCTATAAGAGGATAAGGACAACACCTGTACACAATATCGAATCTATAAGTGGATAAGGGCAACACCTGTATACCATATCGAATCTATAAGTGGATAAGGAAAACACCTGTATACAATATCGAATCTATAAGGGGATAAGGCCAACACCTGTATAAGATATCGAATCTATAAGTGGATAAGGAAAACACCTGTATACAATATCGAATCTAGAAGTGGATAAGGCCAACACCTGTATAAGATATCGAATCTATAAGTGGATAAGGGCAACACCTGTATACCATATCGAATCTATAAGTGGATAAGGGCAACACCTGTATACCATATCGAATCTATAAGTGGATAAGGGCAACACCTGTATACCATATCGAATCTATAAGTGGATAAGGACAATACATGTACACTTATGGAATACTTTTTTTTTTTTTAAATATTGCTTCAATATTTGTGTTTGTTCAGTTTCAGTGACAAATAAAATACAGTTTTTATAATAATTGTTAAAGTGCGTTTTCATGAATTGACATAATTTATGAATCAGTGCAGTACACGTAATACTTAAATTATTCAATTGTTGTACAAACATTATTTTCACATACATGTTTATATAATCTATTGATTATTTAGCACAATACGTAAAGTATATGTTGAATATGTAAATATTTAGATTAAAATATGTATTAATAAGTTCGTGAAGTAAAATCAGCATAGTATTACATGTAAATGTAGTTATAATTCATAAGTAGTAGTTAAATGCTAAGCTCTAATAGATAAGTGTAAAATGACGTTAAAAAGATACTTAGATATATGACAGAGGAAGGAAAGTGTCACCACTTTGCTGACGTCAAAATGACATCTTAAGATTGAGTGTTTTCCTAATATACCATTGAGGTGCTTTTCCGATAAAGAAAAAAAGTCAAATGCAGTATCATTTTTTTTAAATTCGTACAGAAAGAAATGATAAAACAAATATAAAAACAAACATTTATTAGACAGATCAACGTAGATAAACTTGAAATAGACAAATACTTTTGTCCATTGTACCATTACAAAGGTACGCGACCTCAATAGCGACGATTTTACACACATAGCGCTCGAGGCATATCTGTCAAATCTTCATCAATCACATTATAATGGGATCGTTTACTGGCTAATGCCTTTCCATGTGTTATAAAAATATCTACTTATTTTGATCGGTAAGGACCTCTTCCGGAGAAGGTTAACTGCAACATCCTGATTTGGATGAGATTGTTTATAAGTGTTGACCTCTTTTTTGTTTAAAGGTTCACTAAACATGTGTCAACGTATGTGTGTAAGTACATTTACACACATTCCTTGTAAAAAGTATGACACGTTTCCGTTTGGAATAAAGTCGTTAAGGGGTTTTCCTTCATATCCTAGTTACAGTAAATACGATGGATGTCCATCCCAAAAGTTGTATATAAGATATATATAGCTATTTTAGGTTCCGTGTTAGACCAATAGGAAGGGCCTTACCGAGTGAAAATTTCCACACAAAAACCGCGTAGGGTTTTGAAATTCATGGCAATACATGATGGAAAAGCCAGAACAATTAGTATATAAGGTCCCTCTAAATTAGAGATCAGCATATTCCTCTAGTTCTGAGAGAAAGAAAAAATCGGTCCATCAGAAAACAAACTTACGAAAAACATCCAACCAAATAAGATGGGAGCCGCTTCTAATGGTACACTATCTCTGATAAAATATCTCACAAAAGGTAAAAGTCATCGCAGGTTAGGGAGAAGAATTGTGTTTATAGTATGCCACTGTCACTATACTATAGAATTTCAATGACTGGTAATTAGGAAACAATGACCATTATGACTTCTAGGTTTGATATGCGCATCAGTTTAAAAAAGAAAAAAATGTATCCAGTCGACAAAACGTACGATGATATATGTCTTGATATTTAAAGAAACCAATGCCTTAGGACGTGTGCATTAAAATAATTAGGCTCAACATGTCCTTATAACACTAAAATAATAGTTATCCTCGACATGTCCTTATAACACTAATATAATAGTTATACTCAACATGTCCTTATAACACTAATATCATTTCAACGTTTGCAGGTTTACTAGTTGTTGTGCTGGTGTGTTCGTTCGGGTCAACGAACGCTGTGAGCGATGCCAAATGGCGCAGTCCGTGTGGTGCGAGCGTTGGTTCTATTGTTGGGTTACCAGGAGGCCCTCCGACAGCTTCCACAAATGTTCTATTGGAGGACATGCTTCCAGTCTTACGGACCGCCATAGCAGCAGCAGAATCACTTAAAAATAAATACGTATGTATACATAAAATATTCGTTGAAAACAGTTCTTTAATATTGTGCTGTTTTTTTCCGGTTGAATTAATTGCCATGCATTTCTTGAAAATACTCATTTGATATTTCTTCTCTGTCGTAACAGATATCCGACAGATTCTCCGAGAGAAGGATACCCCACTTGAATGGCTATCATTGTGACGGAATGCCTGTCGTATCTATGACTACATCAGAAATTGAAGAATCTCTTTCAGACGTAAGTTAAATGTTCTTATTGCCAACGATCTAATTTTAAGAATTAACATCTCATGTAATATTATGTTTAAAAATCAAAATAAAGCTACGAAGTTCGTCCTTATATTTTACAGATAAATCTCACTCACTTGTCGAACTATGAGAAGCTTTCCCGAGTTCTGATTTTCTTGGAACAAGTGCGATTCGACGAGACCTTCATGGACAGCAGGGAAGCAACGTACAATGATGATGTTCAGGAAATTGAGAGAAACATTTTAAACGTTTTGTGCACCAAGCAAAGAGTTATTAAAAACTCTGGAGCTCGGATTGATTACATATCTCACACAGTGATGGCACCTGATTTAAGAGTCACTATGAACGAAAATGAGCGCCATGAAAGAGATTACGTCATCATCAAGGATACGTATCACCTGCTTCAGACAATGCATATCCACGTAACAGCCATCAACAATCGGCTTAGGTCAAGTCAGTAATCGATAGGGAACAAACATTCACCCACACCTTTCCAGTCAGGAAATTATAACTAAAGTAGATTATATTAATCGCTTTTATGATTGATAAAACATGGTGAATTGTATTTCTGTTTATTTGCAAAGTGTATCAGTGTTTTTGAATGCAGCACCGATATCGATCTCAACGACTTTTGTTCGTATCACATCAAACAATAAATTATATAAATTAATTATTGATGTTTGTGTCCCTCGATCATAATGTGATGATAATTATTGTTATTTATTGATGTATGAGTTCTTACAAAACAGCTACAATGTGATGAATGTTAGGTCGCAGATTATTTGTTAATGCTTAACTTTTAACAGGATTTGTTACATGTTATTTAGGATTAATATACTTTTCCTGTGCGATGCCATCCTGGATATTATATAGTAATCTGAACTCGTTATTATTCTACGTTCCAATGTTATTGTTGATTTTGTACATGTATACCATTAAGATATAGTTAACGGATATAACATGTACAGTGATACATGCAATAGGAGACCATACTGGTTTATTTTTGTTAACATTGTAATTAATTCGCCTTTTGAATTAAATAAATTTTACTTTTGTTTTGAAATTCAGATTGTGTTTTTTTTTTTACTTAGTAATAATTTAATAACCGAACAGTATTTTGAATCATAAAATATTTACGAAAGGTTATTGAACCTTGATTTTGTAAGATGTATGGAATATTTATGTACAATTGCTGGGATCTGTCAAACTTCTATGACTGAATATATTACAATGAAAATCATAATTTGGTAAGTTATGATAAACAAAACATGAAGTGTAAATCCCTTTCCTGCTGATCAAGAACGTTCTTGTTTCAACTGGTGTCTATTCAGGTATGCTTGGAACTAGTCAAAGCCAATACAATGGCTATTTCACATGAGGACTAGTTCGGTTGTAACAAGGATTAAAAGGTGTGAAATGTAATAAAGACTTTTGTCTGGTGAGTTGTGGTGGTGGCTGGTATCTAGTGAGTTGTGGTGGTGGCTGGTGTCTGGTGAGTTGTGGTGGTGATTCGTGTCTGGTGAGTTGTGGAGGTGGCTGGTGTCTAGTGAGTTGTGGTGGTGATTCGTGTCTGTTGAGTAGTGGTGGTGATTCGTGTCTGGTGAGTTGTGGTGGTGATTCATGTCTGGTGAGTTATGGTGGTGGCTGATGTCTAGTGAGTTGTGGTGGTGGCTGGTGTCTGGTGAGTTGTGGTGGTGGCTAGTGTCTAGTGAGTTGTGGTGGTGATTACAGTTACTGGTGAGTTGTGGTATTGATAAGTATCTGGTGAGTTGTGTTGGTGACTAATGTCTGATGTGTTGTGTTGGTGATGAGTTTCTGGTGAGTTGTGGCGGTGATTATAGTGACTGGTGAGTTGTGGTGGTGACTAGTGTCTAGTGAGTTGTGGTGGTGATAAGTGTCTGGATAAGTTTTGGAGGTGATTAGTGTCTGGTGAGTTGTGGTGGTGTCTGGTGTCTGATGAGTTGTGGTGTTGATTAATGTCTGGTGAGTTGTGGTGGTGATTATTGTCAGGTGAGTTGTGGTGGTGATCGGTGTCTTGTGAGTTTTGGTGGTGATTAGTGTCTGGTGAGTTGTGTTGGTGTTTGTGTCTGGTGAGTTGTGGTGGTGACTAGTGTCTGGTGAGTTATGTTGGTGATGAGTTTCTGGTGAGTTGTGGTGGTGATTATAGTGTCTGGTGTGTTGTGGTATTGACTAGTGTCTGGTGAGTCGGGTGGTGACTAGTGTCTGGTGAGTTGTGTTGGTGATGAGTTTCTGGTGAGTTGTTGTGGTGATTCATGTCTGGTGAGTTATGGTGGTGGCTGGTGTCTAGTGAGTTGTGGTGGTGGCTGGTGTCTGGTGAGTTGTGGTGGTGGCTGGTGTCTAGTGAGTTGTGGTGGTGATTATAGTGACTGGTGAGTTGTGGTATTGATAAGTATCTGGTGAGTTGTGTTGGTGACTAATGTCTGATGTGTTGTGTTGGTGATGAGTTTCTGGTTAGTTGTGGCGGTGATTATAGTGACTGGTGAGTTGTGGTGTTGACTAGTGTCTGGTGAGTTGTGGTGGTGATTAAAGTGACTGGTGAGTTGTTGTGTTGACTAGTGTGTAGTGAGTTGTGGTGGTGACTAGTGTCTGGTGAGTTGTGTTGATGATGAGTTTCTGGTGAGTTGTGGTGGTGATGAGTGACTGGTGATTTGTGGTGATAAGTATCTGGTGAGATGTGGTGATTATAAGTGTCTGGTGAGTTGTGTTGGTGATGAGTTTCTGGTGAGTTGTGGTGGTGATTAGTGTTTGGTGATTTGTGGTGGTGATTATTGTCTGGTGAGTAGTGTTGGTGACGAGTGTCTGGTGAGTTGTAGTGCTGATTAGTGACTGGTGAGGTGTGTTGGTAATTAGTGTCTGGTGAATTGTGGTGGTGATTATAGGGACTGGTGAGTTGTGATGGTGATTGGTGTCTTGTGAGTTGTGTTGGTGATTAGTGTCTGGTGAATTGTGGTGGTGACGAGTGTCTGGTGAGTTGTGGTGGTGATAAGTGTCTGGATAAGTTGTGGAGGTGATTAGTGTCTGGTGAGTTGTGGTGGTGATTATTGTCTGGTGAGTTGTGGTGTTGGCTGGTGTCTGTTGAGTCGTGGTGGTGATTAGTGTCTGGTGAGTTGTAGTGCTGATTAGTGTCTGGTGAGGTGTGTTGGTAATTAGTGTCTGGTGGATTGTGGTGGTGATTATAGGGACTGGTGAGTAGTGATGGTGATTGGTGTCTTGTGAGTTGTGTTGGTGATTATTGTCTGGTGAATTGTGGTGGTGACGAGTGTCTTATGAGTTGTGGTGGTGATAAGTGTCTGGATAAGTTGTGGAGGTGATTATTGTCTGGTGAGTTGTGGTGGTGTCTGGTGTCTGGTGAGTTGTGGTGTTGATTAATGTCTGGAGAGTTGTGGTGGTGATTATTGTCAGGTGAGTTGTGGTGGTGATCGGTGTCTTGTGGGCTTTGGTGGTGATTAGTGTCTGGTGAGTTAGGGTGGTGATAAGTATCTGGTGAGTTGTGGTGGTGATTAGTTTCTGGTGAGTTGTGGTGTTGACTATAGTGACTGGTGAGTTGTGGTGTTGACTAGTGTCTGGTGAGTTGTGGTGGTGACTAGTTTCGGGTGAGTTGTGTTGGTGATGAGTTTCTGGTAAGTTGTGGTGGTGATTATTGTCTGGTGAGTTGTGTTGGTGATGAGTTTCTGGTGAGTTGTGGTGGTGATTAGTTTCTGGTGAGTTGTGGTGGTGATAAGTGTCTGGTGAGATGTGGTGGTGATGAGTGTCTGGTGAGTTGTGGTGGTGATTAGTGTATGGTGGTTGTGTTGGTGATAATTTCTGGTGAGCTGTGTTGGTGATTAGTGTCTGGTGAGTTGTGGTGGTGATTATTGTCTGGTGAGTTGTGTTGGTGATGAGTTTCTGGTGAGTTGTGGTGGTGATTATTGTCTGGTGAGTTGTGGTGGTGATAAGT